TTTGACACTACTGGCCCTATGTATACTTATTCCTGTACTGATTCATATTTACTGTAGGGACTGTTGTCAATGTTTGGTGGGTGTTTTTTCTTTTTATCGGTCAATATTACACTGATTAATTAGAAACATTCAAAGTTAGGCATCGTCTGTTTAGCGTACAGGCACTAAACAACTCAAGATCCAAACTCATAAATGATGGGACTTTTATTTTGTTTCTCTATCGATAAACTACAATTTCCAATCAAAAAGCAAATTCCCAGAAAAGGATTTTTGCAGCTTTGTAGTTTGCCCATGTTGAGCGCATTAGCTAAACCCGTGATTCATACGCCGCTCACTAGTTGGTGCCCCGGTGTTCGGGTGGTTGGACTGAACCTATGAAGAAGATATATTACCGTCTGACCGTCCGAGACGAAATCATGGCTGCATTTGCCCGAGGTTCCATGAAACTGAACTGGTCTCTAATAAATGTTATGGTGAACACTTAGATGGATGAGCCATGTACACATTTGTTCTGCAGAGTCATTGCGTCAGTTGGAAGGTGTATGAGCACCATGATTGCATCACAAATTTGTGAAGGCAAATCGAGCCCGATGGTTGGACAGCATCAGGTGTCGTAGGGCAGCAATGGACGCTCTTACGTGGTGGGGGACGCACTCGAACTTCATGATAGCCCTACCGGATATTCTAATGAAGGAAGATTGATGGGGAAGTCACTCATGAAGCAGAAGAGCAATTGAGAGGGTGATCATATTCGACTAACTGACCTCTCTGTTTGTTCTAACATCAATGCCGAGAATATTTCTGCTTTCTGCGGAGGCCCGTAGCCAATGCTATCTCACAAATGAGCACTCACAGGATTGACTTAAAATTGTTTCATAGAAATTCATCATAAACAACTTTTCCCTACAAAAAAATTTGAAAAGTCAGAAAAAGAGTAGAAATATGCTAGAAGTTAAACAACAGCATACAGCGGCAGCTCCACACACATGGCGCATGGAATGGCCTCTAGATCCAACCCTACGCCTCTCGAATCTTATCGAGTTAACCTTCACACCGACTCATTTAAAGAAGGCAACTGCGTTTGGTAAAACTCGATTGCATGGCCCATTCCGAGGAGGGGTATAATCGAAACTCTCCTCCCAAGCAGCTTCAAAGTCTTCGGGCAAGGGGAACAACAATGAAGCGAGATTTTTATGCTAAATACGTTCCTATTCACCATGCGA